TATTCCAGATGAATACTATGTAATGTACAACTAAGAGGTATTTTTGGAATGCTGGGCAAATCATGGACCTAGTCTTATTCCAGATGAATACTATGTAATGTACAACTAAGAGGTATTTTTGGAATGCTGGGCAAATCATGGACCTAGTCTTATTCCAGATGAATACTATGTAATGTACAACTAAGAGGTATTTTTGGAATGAGGCTCTTGTGTTATCATATTTCATTATGGCCATTCATGAGAGAAACTGTACAGGTGAAATATCAATACCTCTTAGTTGTATATTTCATGGTATTCATCTGGAATAAGACTAAGTCCATGATTTGCCCAGCATTCCAAAAATACCTCTTAGTTGTACATTACATGGTATTCATCTGGAATAAGATTAAGTCCACGATTTGCCCAGCATTCCAAAAATATCACTTAGTTGTACATTACATGGTATTCATCTGGAATAAGATTAAGGCCATGATTTGCCCATCATGTATTGTTATATGAGTTGGTATATATTAATGGATATGTTAATTAACATATAACTGTCTTATGTAACAATTTAAAAAGTAATTAACTCAGCATAGGTCTGTACTTGTTAGTTGCAACCATCTTGGGGATTATGACATTATAAGGATATATCCTGCATAACCGATTCTTCTTTGGAGGTAGTTGTAGGCAGCTGAAGAAGGACTCAAGAAAAAACATAAAGCAGGAGCTGTTCACACAAAAGAATACCTTATTGAAATATAACCAGTTTCTCACACCTGTCATTATATTTCTGTCATTTAGTCTTACTGACACCAATGTTCTATCAATAATAATCTGTGTGTTATTTTAAGGGATTCAATTTGATTCTGATCAAGCTTATACAAGAATCTACTGAGCTGTTTGTTTATTCTAGCCTTACAAACAAAGTAGTGGCTCTCAAGGAGATCCGACTTCAGACAGAAGAAGGAACTCCATTTACAGCCATCAGAGAAGGTGAGTGATTACCATAATGGCATTTCTCATTCTGGTATTCTTTAGACTATTTCATTATACATCTAACATATAAACTAAATATTTCACACAATCACATGCCCTATACCAACAGAAAATATCTTCACAATTTACTCATTAAAGATAAATTATTACTATAAAAAATTCAAATATTTTACTAGAACTAATGAATTAATGCAACATATTATTGTAATAATAAATTTTGCTTATTTGTTACTAATGTTTGGTTCTTGCAAATAAGTGAAATTCTCTAGTGTAAGTAATGCCAGTAAATTGTGAAGATATTTTCTGTTGGCATGTGATTGTGTGAAATATTTAGTTTATATGTTAGATGTAAACTAAATGTGCAAAGTTTGAATTTTATGTGAAATGTCCTGAATAAATGATCATACAATCATTACTTACACTGCATTAAGAAAGAGCCATTTCTTTGTTTGTCATTGATACAATGTTTTTGTTTCAGTGCTCTTGATTGTGTTTTTTTTCAGTATGAAGATTTTTTTGTTTATTTTGAAAACCTGAAAAGGCCAGAAGATTTGATATGGAACCAAAACATTTGATATTTTTGTCTGCATTACGGGTGGTTTTTGTTTTTAAAATTTTATGATTTTTTCTACTTTGAATTTTCATTCCGGTTTTAATTCATCTTGACAACATTTTGGTCGTGAGATGAAAACATGGTGCAAACGTGCTTTTTTCAGTCATGGGAGTGCTATAATATGATGGTCAATCCCACTGTTTGCTGGTAATGAGTAGTCCAAGAGTTGGAGGTGGGTGCTGCTGGCTGGTTGCCTTCTCTATGTTGGGTTGTTCAAAATTATGAAAAGTGTGAAATAGCCTTAGTAGCTTTGCCATAAAAACAAGTAAACAAATTATTTATTCTTTTACATATTGTTCTTCAACCTCATTATCATGATTTTTATTGTGGGTTTTTGTTCGATGAATCTAACTTTACTTTTGTGTTTGGATTTTTAGGTTTGTGTCTTATTTTATCTGCTTTGCTCTCATGTTTCATGTTATTTTTCATGTTGATTTTACTTTCCTTTTTCTCTCAGATTTATATTCTCATTATTAATATCAAAATCAGTTCCCAAGTTCTATGTTCAGATTAATAGGCCTTAGGGTATAATTATCTTCAAAGAAAAACGAGAAGAAGGGAAAGGTAATGTTAAGTCGAAGAAAACAAATAAATAATGATTGAAATTAAAAGTATTTCAGATAAAAATACCACTATTCTTTTCTAACAATTCTTTCTTCACTGGTTTATTGATAACAGCTTGTATTTCTTTCACTCTTTATTAAGATTAAAAGTAATATTACAACTTTAAAGTTGATTGTAAAAGAATTAGCTCACTTATTACTTTATTAGTGAGGATATCCTGATGATGAATCAATGGATTTTAATCAGTACAGATTTTAAGTTTTTGGTTCAGTCATTTATTATATAGTTCTAGTCAGTTTGTTATATATAATTAGTTTTTTTTTATGTCTGATGCCTCGAGTTAGTTTGCTCTTCATCAGATGTTAATGATAAGTAATATAATTACTGCTCTTTTTGTAAAGTTTTAAATATGGGAATATCTTTTAGTGCCATATGCTGGTATGTATATACATTATTTCACAGGTGATTATAAAATAACAGTAGTATTTTTTGTAAATAGGTTAGCAGTTTCACCATATATTTTATACCAATAAATCCATTTATTTTAGCATCGCTACTCCGTGGTTTGAAGCATGCAAATATTGTGACTCTTCATGACATTATCCACACAAAAGAAACTCTTACTTTTGTCTTTGAATATGTGGTGAGTACTTTCTGTTTCATTAGTTACTTTTGTTTTTTTATTGCATATAAATAATAGTTTGATTTTAGTAAAAATGATTTAGATTTTTTTCGTTACAGAGCTTACAGTTTCTTTTCTTTAAATATTATTCATTCTTGTTTACCATTTTTAACTTAAACAATAGCAATTACAGCAAAAAGTATCACAAACAGAAAGGCACTAAACTGATGGAACATTCTAATCATTATAAGTCAGAATGTAAAAAAAGGATATTAAATTAATTATATTCAGTACTGGGTTGATCTTTAGTTCTAATCTATGTAGATAACTTACCTTGATTAGAAATTAATATTTTTTTCACATAGTTTGTACATTTTCTCACAAGTTTTAATAATGTAGGTGGATATTATTCTGTATATATTATTCTAGTAGTATCTGGTGAGTTTCCAACAATAACGGTACTTCTGTCAGTGGAGTCAGCTAGAATTCCTTTATTCTTGAAAGCTGAATCGTTTATATACCTGGAGTTGTATCCACACTCATTTTAATGAAAACATACTGCATACTTACCTTGGTTTAAGCGTCAACAAGTTAATAACTACAGAGGCAGTTTTCTCAGCTCTTCTTAACTCATTAGGAACCACATGATACAAGTTGGAGGCCATACACTGTTTAACAAATGTTGTACAGGTGGAAAACAGATGAAGAAATCTGTTCATGGTGCTTACATACTTACTAAACCTGTGCTTTTAGTTTCCAGAAATTAGTCTAAAACACCAGCTTTGTTGTAAGTGTTGACGTTAAAGTTAAAAAGATCAAATTTGAAAAATGATAAGGTGATAAAATGATACAAGTTTGATTTCTTGTCTCTAAAAATTAGTAACTGTTTTTATGGGTAGAATAATCCATTATTTATGGTTTTAACTATGATACATTTAAACTACACAAAGTTTTTTAGGAGTATGAATATTTCTGTTGTTTTGAGAAATAAATAACCAGACTATGAAAATTTACTTTACTGAACTCTTCAATACAAGCCGTTGTAGAAGTTTTTAGTCAGAAATTGAATTTAAAATATACAAGTTAGTCTGAGCTCAAATTTTGTTCTTTTTTCTTTTCTTTAAGTTTCAAGTAAACATTTTATTCAACGAACCAAGAAGCAACTGAATAATAAAAGAAGTAAAATGCTTGTAAATTGTCATTAAAATATTTTGACAATACTCTTCTTTTGGCTAAAAAATAATAACCATTTTAGTTAAATGTTAGCATTGCATCATCAAGTTGCTGGTTTTTGTCTTTTATGTTCAGAGTAGGAATGTTTTTTTTTTATTTTGGGTATTTAAGCAAAGCTACATGAAGGCTATATGCACTAGCCATCCATAATTATCAAGATATTTTCACACTTTTTTAATATCTAACAGTGAAACACAAATACTTATATATCTTATATATATATGTTACTTCAGCATTTTTATAGCACACATCTTCTGAGTGACCCAGGTTTAGTCTTTTTCTGAGGTTGGTTTTTATATTCCCACTGCAAAGCATTGCAGAGTGGGGCATAATGGATTCCCCATGTACATCTTCTCCAAGTTTGTGGATAGGATATCTCAAGTTCAGATGGATGGAGTTTGACCAAACATATATAACAAATACTACATACAATGTTCTAGACCTGATTAATTTTTGAAGGTCACAGGTCAATAGGTCACTGATACATAAAAAAATCTTCTTCAACCTTGTGTGGACATGATATTTCAATACTGGACGAATGGATATTGACCAAAGTTATACAACAGGTACTGCATACAAACCTCTAGACTTGATTAAGTTATTAAGGTCATAGAACAAATGTTAATGTCACTGGTACATAAAAAAATCTTCCCCAAACTTGTGGACACTATATTTCAATACAGGATGAATAGATATTGACCGATCTTATAGAATAAATACTGCATACAAACCTCTAGACTTGATTAACTTCTGAAGCATATGGGCCAAAGGTCACTAATACATAGAAATTCTGGCCCAATATTGTAAGCACATCATCAGATTGGAGTACTTAAACATATAGTATAACCTCAGTAAGGGGATAGTTGTTCCATAAACATAATCTGTACTTGTTTATTCTTGAAACTAACTGTCCTTGCCCGGTTTTGCCCAAGTCTTACCTGAACAGGGGGTCAATGTTTAGCTATTTTTAAGCAGGAAGGATCAAAATTTTGCTTTTCATATAATGATACATGTCAAATGGTGATATTTCTATAAGATAAATGTTGTAAGAGCATAAAAATTAAAGAAAATAAATGAAATTGTAGATTTATTGTATAGCTCACAGTCATTGAAATGCTTCTGGATAAACAACATTTTTGGTTTCTTGTGAAGTCTCACTGTCACTTTTGTTGCATACATTTTGCTGCTTGTAATTGGCAATCTGAATTGTTTTTTTGAGCTTGGATAAAGTTTTACATCTTTTGTATCTCCTTCAATTATTTTTTAAATATGGTTAAATTTCTTTTTTTGCTGCACAGGTAATAATGACTTTTAGTGCTTGGAGATGGCTTGAGTGGGTAATGAAGGAAAAACTTTAATATAAGTTTAACAAAAACAGCAAATGTACAATGTTTTGACAAGGTCTTGTCATCATCAGGTACAACATTTGCTGTTATGTTAAACTTATATTAAAGTTTTTCTTCATTACCCATTCAAGCCGTCTCCAAGCATTATTAGTCTCAAAGTGGGTTCCTTATCATCAAATAATGACTTTTATTTAAAAAGATTTTTTAATCAATTTGAAAATCATAAATGTTATTTGTTCAAACACACAATCACTGAAAAAACTCTTAAATGATAAAAATACAAAAATACCATTTTTACTACAACTTTTTTCTATCAATTTTAAGTCAATTTTCTTCTATATAAAGTTTTATTTGAAATAATAACTTTATAATAAAATTCCTTAACCTCGCACACACATTTTGAAAATAGTTTTTAGATACAAATAAGTATAATCATTTCTGCCAGTAATATGAATTCTAATACTTTTTATGCATGGTGTTTTTTTTAACCTATTGTTACAAAACTGTTATTGTTTTACATTACTGGCAGAAATGATAATATGAATTGTAACACTTTTATGTGTGGTTTCTTTTAAAAATATAGAACAATAACAGTATTGTAATAACGGGTTTTTAAAAAACATTGTATGGAATAAAACCTAAACTCTTGTTCAGTCCTCGATTTAACAATCACTCTCTCAGCTAGCCAAACTACTCAATTTCTTTGTAATTTAAAATATTTAGAAACTTACACAAACATAGTATCTATGTGGTTTTGATGTAAAATGAAACCTTTAATTTTAAAATGTGTTATTTGAAGAAGGAAATATTCCTTTATTTTTTCTCTACATAATACCTATAATTTTATTTTCCTTTTGTTAATTATACCAAAGCAATTGATTTATATTCTATATTCATCATAATTGTATGTATTTAATATCTTTAATACCACATGTCAGATGTTACGACTATTTTAACCAGAGTTTTATCACCTAGTACATTGTTGCCCAATAAAGGTTCTGGTAAGAGGGCCAAAAGCTCGCAAATAAAAAAAGTATTTTAACATAGAAAAACGTTCGTGTAAATAATGTGCAAGTGCACACCCTCAGAATTCCCTTAGTATCTGTGCAAAGTTTCAGGTCTCTAGATTCTTTCCTCTCGGAGCTATGGTGTTGACTGTCTGATACACATAGGCTGTTTGACTAGTAAAGATAAGATAATGAAGAAACTTTTTTTTTCCTCCTCTAAATAACATGTAATTTTCATGTGAAAGAGAGTAGCAGTTTTGAAGCACATTTTAAAAAAAGAATATTGATTGTATACTTCATGTACAAAAGTTTAAAAATTGTTCTTTGTATTTCAGCACACAGACTTGAGTCAATACCTTGAGAGACATCCAGGAGGGTTGAATGCCAACAATGTTCGGGTATGTTGTAGGAACGTGGTTGTTCCAATTGAATTTTTCAGGAAATTATAAAAATGTTTTATGTGAAAAATAAACATACTGAAACATTAAATGATGGATTATATAAATAAAATGTAAAATGTTTCTGGTTATTCTATCACTTGTTGAAGTGTACAGTATAACAATCACTGTATTTTGAGTAGATCACATCTATATCACTTGATGAAGTGTACAGTATAACTATCACTGTATTTTGGGTAGATCACACCTATATATATCACTTGATGAAGTGTACAGTATAATTGTCACTGTATTTTGAGTAGATCACATCTATATCATGTGATGAAGTGTACAGTATAATTGTCACTGTATTTTGAGTAGATCACATCTATATCATGTGATGAAGTGTACA